ACCCTCGGTGGGAGCGCCGCCGTGCTCCCAAGCGGCGCACTGTAGCAGTGCGCCACCGGGCGGGCCCTATAATGTCATTTTTCCCTTTTGGATTAGTTTCTAGGGTTACACATGAAGTTCTGAAAAGCTACACATGGTCCTGGGACTAAAAGTTGATCTTAAACTTGTAAAATTACACAAAAAGAATATGTATTACTAAGGGCTGGCTGGTTAGCTCAGTTGGGTGGAATGTGGTGTTATAACACCAAGGTCAAGGGTTCGGATCCCCATACCAGCCAGTCACCAAAAAAAAAAAAAAAAAGAAGAAGAATATTTATTACTAAAATATCTTGACCTAGAAAACAAACAAAAAAACACAAAACAAGAAAACATAAAAACAAACAAAAAGAAAAACAAACTTGACCCAAACCATAAAGACCTTTATAGAATAACTCATCACCCTGAGTTTAGTAACTCTTAGCATTAAAGCAAATACAATGCTATGACATCATGTTATGTGATAAAGTATGGCATAATATATATATACAGTATAATTTCATGATGTAATGAAAAATGCATTCAAAAGTCTGAGAAGGGCTATGCAGAATGTTAACAATGATTATTTTTGTGTAGTGATATTAACTTTTTTTCATATGACTTTATACTTTTTCATATTTTCCAATTTTCTACAATAAATACATGTTACCTTGATTAGAAAAAAAGAACTTTGGAATGTAAAATAATTAACCTATTACCAATTTTTGCATTTTGAAACTTAGAGTAGCCTGATGTTTGGTAACACTTGAGGTTACTAAGATGTGGAAAACTGCCCATGTTACATTGGAGAAAGAGGTCATAATCTGTAAGTTTGCATATATAAATTTAGAAACTTACTTTGCCAAGTTTTCTAGCTAGTTTCTTTACCAATCAATATCATCTTCGTATTATGTTGACCGATTTTCTCTCAGCTTGATTTTTATCTATGGTTTAACTGTGCTGTTTCCACACATTACTGTCAGGACTTACTTAAAGGAAGATGCATTATTTAGGTTTGAAGGTTTTTAGGGTAGTAATGATTGCATTATACTCTTTTGAATTCCTGCCCCTTTGGGAGCAAATTCTTCTGCAGTCACCATGCATTCTTTCTCAGTCTTCACCTTAACTAACTAAAATTGTCTTTCCCCAGGTACAGGGCATTCCCTAAAGCCATCTATATTTTTTTCTGGGAGGGGTCTTCAAAAAATTCATGGAAGGATTCATATTATCTTTTTTTCTTTTTTTTCTGTGGCAGATGCAGGGATCCAAACCCTTGACCTTGGTGTTATATAACACAGTGCAGTAACCAATTGAGCTATACAGCCAGGCCTCATATTATCTTTTTTTTTTTCCTTTTTGTCTTTTTTCGTGACCGGCAACGGATCGCAACCCTCAGTGTCGCGCCCGTACTGGACCGGGACCGGCCACGGGATCGCAACCCTCGGTGTTGGTCCCGCACCTCGCTCAGCCAGTGAGCGGCCGGTCCGCATGTGGGATCCGAACCCTCAGCGGGAGCGCCGCCGCACTTCCCAAGCGGCGCACTGTAGCAGTGCGCCACCGGGCCGGCCCTATCTTTTAATTCAGTTTTTCCGTGAACTTTTTGTAGTATCCTCTCTTTGACTCTTCTAACTCACTAGGCAAAAGGGGGCAATTACATAGGACTTGTCTAATAGTGCTACTTCTTGACCGCTGTTAGTAAATGTAGCCAGTATGCATTGACTGTCATGTGCCAGGCACTTTTTAATGCTTTACATGCATTATTTCAGGTAACCTTCTGAAGTAAGTACTGTTGTTGATAAAACTTAATGTTTAGAAAAGTAACTTGTTATTTCAAGGGCATAATCTAAGAAGTGACCTCATCTGGATAGGAACCTAGTTCTTCTCAACTCAGAAGATTTTAAACATTATCACTGTTAATAACCTCTCCTCTCTTGACATCATCAGATCATCTAATTGTACTACCCTTTCTCTAACTTTGCC